TATATATATATATATATATATATATATATATACGTTAATACGTATAACGTATCTAACGTATGTATGTAGGTACATAAGTAGAGAGACTCTCTTTTCAACTAGTAGATAGAACACTTTAGTAAGTGAGGCCGCCTATAGCGTTTCTACTCTCTCGCAGGGCAGCTATAGTGAATTTATACACGGCTACGGTGCGTTCCCACGCCTAGAGAACATGCGAGAGAGTACTTGGGTTCTCTCTTCGGCCTAATGCCCGACACTATTTGCCTTGTCTTTCTTTCTTTCTTTCTTTCTTGTATTTTTTTTCTTTTTTGTTCTCTTTCCATAGCTCTCCGCCATTGGGGCCCCGACTGAAAGAAAATTACGGAAAATCTGGAGCATACCGAACAAGTGGTATGCCACCGACCATTGTCTAACTAACACTGACAGTAATTTACAATGCAAGAAAATCGGTCATTATGTGTTAACATTTGAAATCGAATGTCTTAACGTATACAAATTTCATTGTTTAAGAATATTTATGTGTATGTGGGAAGGGGCCAGGTTTAAGGGAAAAATAATATCGATAGGTGGTCGTCAATGTCATCGATCAAATGTAGAGAACAATACTCATCTTATTATTATGATGATGATGATGATGATGATGATTCTTTCTCACGACTTCGTGAGTATTCCTTTACGATGACTCGAATAGAATTCTTCTTGATAAGAATATGTCTAAATCGTGATTCATCGATAGCTCCTATAGCTTAGCAAGTATGACAGTTGGTTTTTTCTTTTCTTTTCTTTTCTTTTATTTTTTTTACTAAATCCTACCATATCATTCCATTTGGTATATCCGGTTTACTAAAATAGTCATACAACTTGTAATAAAATCGAACATCAATGTATATTGATAGAATATAATATATTGAAAACATAGTTGTTGATATATTAATAAATTTGATCTTGTTTTCCCCGATACTTTCTATTACAACGTATCCTAATACGTTTTTTATGTGAATGGTGCTAAAAGCATAGGAATCTCTCTTCCGTAATAGTAACTACTATAAACTTAGGAATTTAATATCCATACTTAGGCACACTTTATGTACTCAATACATATGTACATATACATATACATATATAGATTTAAATTGTAGTAGTTATCTCTCTAACAGTGAGAAGATACGATTATTGCTTTTTATTTCGCAATTCAACGAATATCTCTGATTGTCCCATTTCCATTGGTGGTGATGGTGATGGTGGTGGTGGTGGTGGGGAAGATATTAGCATTAGGCGTGTTAGATTAGAGACGTTGTCGCGATCTCGCTATACAATAGCCATAGCAAATTCAATAAGCGATGAAAATCCGCTTAGCGGTTATGTACGTATTATATTTAACGTGTATTTCGATTCGTTACAATGCCCGAAAGACCCCATCAGGATTGTTATTAATTTCTAATAAATGGGATTATTAAATTCGAATTAAGCCTTACGTTCAATAGCATTTCGCCAGAAAGTGTTTTCGAATACGACTGGTATACGCCGCGCGATGATTAGGCACTCTCTTTAGTAAATTTATTTTATTATTACCGAGAAAATCTTGACATGATTTTCTAACGTGTCATCATATTATTTCGAAACACTTTTCAAATATGATCAAGTCTTCGACGAATTCTTTATAATAAATTAAATTAAAAAAAAAAAAATAAATAAAAATAATAATAATAATAATAATGTGTGAAACGTTTACTTATTCTGTTGCATATTTAACATCGAAACTATATATAAATAACAATAAATTATGCATACAAATTAGAAATTACGATTCGAACTAAAGATAGAATTAGTGCAACGATATATAGGCTCACGACGGTAACGGTGAATAACGGTACGCGTGTTTACGGGATCAGCTTTGACGTAGATTTTCCAAAGTATAATATCGAATTCGAGAATCACAACGTTTTATCCTCTTTTATTTTTATTTTCATAATAATTCGAATGTATGTGTGTGTTCCGGAATATTGCGAACAACCGCTCGGAATGTTTTCGATCGGTAACGTCGAATAAAAATTCGGTATCCCCGTGGGATGACCTTTTGATATTAGCTTTTTACCGCTTCTCTCGATGAATCTAGAACGCTCATTACAGAATTAACATATCTCTCTGTATAGAAAAGTATAACACACTGATGTATCCTCTTATATACTAACATAAGAAAGAGAGATTATATATTCAAGAGAGAAATAAAGATGATTGCTTGTAACGTAACGCGTTTATTGATTTAACGGCTGCGAAACTCTGACTATCGCGAGAATCTTTGGTTGCGTGCCTTTCGGTATATAAAATTCTTCTACCATCGGATAAAATACGCGCGCGTAACTACGCAGAATCTAATCGCAAATGTTCTCGTCTCGTTACTACAAATCGATGTGATTTACACCGTCGGGGGAAAAAAATTGAAAAAGAAAAATAAAAAGAAAAAGAAAAAAAAAACAACACAGACACACGCATTCCAATCATTTCGATCATCGTATTTTTCTTCTCTTCTTTTTGCAGATTCCATCATCGAACCGAAGAATGCGGTGGCCAATAATAACGCGTAGAAACGCGAAGAAGATTTCTAGTTGTTGAGGAACGACAAGGACAAGAAAAAATAAGTTTAATATCCATCAGTCCGTAAAATTATCAAATAAGCAGCAGGAACTTCGATATATATATCTTGAAATCTGAGCGGGCGGCAGAAGAAGGGGGAGGGGAAGAGAGAGAGAGAGAGAGAGAGAGAGAAGATTTAACGGTTCCAATCGATTACCATCACGAAGACGATATTGAGAAATAAAGATTTAATGGACCTAACGGAGGCATTTGCCCCGGGCGGGGGCGGCGAGGATTTGCCGAAAACGGATTTTTTTGATTTCGTCGTTTCGCCTACTGCCAATTGTACTTCCACGGACGGTGTGGTCTCCGACGAGGAAAGTTTTCTCCATCGTACCACCTGCCGGAGTATCGGTTATCTTCAACAGAGTCACGAGGAGCACGAGTCGAGCCGAGATCATCTTCACGGGTCCCCGTTCATAAAGGAGACCAATAACAACACGTTGACGGCATTGCCGCCGGTATCAACTATAACTGGTTCGCTCAGTCATCATCACCATCATCACCATCATCATCATCATCAGCATCACGTGAGAGCACATCACGGTAATACATGTAACGTACAGCCAAGCGGTGAACAAGTAGCAATGGATCAATCCGATTGTGATTATTGGACCACGGACGAGAGTAAAGAACAAACGTGCAATATATTACTCGAGGATTTAAGCAAATATTGTTGGTCGGCACATGCAAATGCGCAAACGCATGGGAACGATTCGGTTAACGTTCATCCTGGCGGACCTAACGATCATCATCAAACGGTCGGTCGAGGATGCAACGCGAATGATCGACAAAATACGGACGGAGCTATATATACGTTGACGGTATTAAACAACGAAGCTAACTCGATGGATGCCTTAGATTGCAAAAGTCCAGCTCCAACGTCGGGTGATTCCTGGTCGTTGCGACCCAACCTCGATTTAGATGCTATACTAAGCCTTGAGCCATCATCGGCCGATCAGGAACACGATCAAACGACGAATATGGCAGAAGTATCGAGGACCGTCAACGATAGGTTTCATACTGATCGTTTTACAGTACCGAGCTCTCAATATACCACGGACGACAGTGGCTTCGTCGAGAGCAAAGAATTATGCGGCAGAGCACCTTCTGCCAATGCGAATTGCACAGGTGGCGATAATAACAATGATTGGAAATTGTCCGATCAGAATCTTCAAGAGGCAGCAGTGGTTGCAGCTGCCGCTGTCGCTGTTGGTGCCGGTGATTCGGCAGAGAGTCTTCTCAGAAGCGCTCTTCAAGGTAAACTTTACACAGGACCGACTCAAGTGGTTTCCTCATCCTCCCCGACGTCTCAAGGAGCAGCGACCCTGTCTATACCGGTAAGCAATAACGCCGCGGCTTTACAAATGGTAACTTATTAAACAACAACATGTCAAATAATTCGGAATTTAAAAGATTCTTGACCATTCTACAATCTGAATTTCAAAATTGTCAATAATTATAAATATTAGGCAATAAATAAGCGTAGTTTCAAAATTTCAAGTATACGGTATTCGATTAGCGTAACGAGTCGGTTAGGTAACAAACAATAGAGATAAAGAACACATTATGTGTGTTTTACGGCGTCGATTAAAAAGTAGAGCATTATAACAAAATTAATTGCATTATAATTGCTTAGTGCAATATATATATAATTTTATATTTTTTATATATTGAAACGTTAATTATTATATTACTAACAGCAGCAACAACAGCAGCAGCAACAGCAGCAACAACAGCAGCAACAGCAACAGCAACAGCAACAAGACGAATCTATGCACGCGTGTACCGATGAAGATTTGCTACTTTCTCAGCTCGATCAGACAACCTATCGACCTGGCGATTACGAGAAGCTCAAAAGTATCGCAAACGAGGTCGTCGAATCGTATTGTAGCCTCGAGCCAGTTTGCAACGTCTCGGCGACGACGACCGTGATGTATACGTTGGATCCTACCAGTGGTAGTCTCGGTACCATCACCTTACCAGCCGATCTCGGTCAAGTCAGTACCGTCACGGTGGTCACGGCCGCTCAGCAGGATGTGCTCCAGCAACAAACGACTCCACGTCCAGACGTCGAACAACAGCAGCAACAGCAGCAACAACAGCAGCAGCAACAGCAGCCGCCAACGAGTCAACTTCAAATGACTTCCTCTCGTGTTGGTGTCACTACCAAGACCCCGAAGAAATACTGCAGACGAACAAATAAAAATAACAATAATGCTAACAGCTCGAGCAACGGGAATGCCGCTGATGGGACTGGCAATTCAACTGGACAACAACAAGGTGCCTCCAGTGGCTCGCCAGGTAGCGTTCAACGAAAGGAACGTTCATTACATTACTGCAGTATCTGTAGTAAAGGTTTCAAGGACAAATACAGCGTGAACGTTCACATTAGAACACATACCGGAGAGAAACCATTTGCCTGTTCGCTTTGTGGCAAGAGCTTCAGGCAAAAAGCGCATCTAGCTAAGCATTACCAAACCCACGTCACTCAGAAACCAAGTGTTCAAGCCCAACAACCACCCAACAACAGTGCTAACAACAGTGGAAGTAATAATCCAAGTCCATCTGCGGAAACGGCCAGTGCAACCAATGTTACTCCTACGACACCTATCACCAGCAGGAGTCAACAACATCCGGTTCAACTCGATCCAAGCGGAAATTCATGTAATCCGCCGAGTTAGTTCGAATTCATTCACCGATCGACTTTGAAGAGACTTCGATGCGTGGTTAAGGCATTCCTCGATCTAACACGCTTCGATAAATTCGTCAAAGATCGAAATGGACGTAGATTATTTTTGCGAATTAAGGTCCATTTACATTGTAGCTGATATTAATATATTCCAAAATAATTATATATATATATATATTAAATACATAATGTGTGTGTGTTTTTTTTTATGTTTAACTTATTATTTTACATTTCCATCAATGTTTTTATTTTTCTTTTTTTTATTATCGATATTAGCTACAATGTAAATGGACCTTAGACAATTTGCGAAATGATAAAAAAATAATAACAATATATATGCATATATACAAGAGAGCAAAACCATGACACTACTCGTAACAAATCGGAATCAAATTTTCGAAAGAAACTAAAACAAATCGTCTCGAGTACTGCCTAATGCTCGCTACCAACCCCCCCACCCCCCCTCGCCATTATTATGTCTTCCTTATTAATTATTATTTTTTTTTGTT